GCTTCTTGCTTTTCTTGTCCCAGAAGAAGAAAGTCGTCCAAATACATTACCAGACGGATAGCTTTCTTTCTGAGATGAGCTGCTACGGGCTTCATTAGCTTTGTAAATATTCTCGGGGCCGAGCATAGGCCGAACGGGAGAACTTTGAATTGATAGCTTGTCCCTTTCCACATAAAGCGAAGGAACCGTTGAGATTTGGGGTGAATTGGAACGGAGAGGTAGGCGTCTTTTAAGTCTAAATTTGTCATGAAGTCGCCTTGTAACAACAATGTTTTTAAACAGTGAATGTTCTCCATTTGGAAATGTTGATTGACAACAAACTTGTTGAGAGGACTCTATCACCGGGCGCAGAGTCCCGCCCTTTTTGGGAACAACAAACAGACGGCTGAAAAAGCCTTTTTCTAACGTAGKAGCCTTTAAAATTGCTCCTTTCAATAGCAACTCGTTGATTTCTTGAGATAACAGATCTGCCTCTACTCCCGATGCTCGGGATACMCGAGGCGAACGTTGAACAGGGATTTTTGAAAACAYGATTTTGTACCCCGAAACAATGYTTAGGATGTCTTGGTCTGAAGTAATGGTCCTCCAGGTGTCTATRCATCCTGAGATTCGGCCTGCCGTCCCTTTGAGGGACGAAAAGGCCGGTTTTTTGGACGGTGCTGATATTTTTGTGAACCACTTTGATAGCTGGATTGGTTATTTGAATGGTACTTAGAGGAKAAATAAACAGTGYGGTTTTTAACACCATTAGAGGCATTATTACCATACTTAGCTTTTCCCTTATTGGAAGACTGGTTGAGGTTCTTAGCTAGACCTCTTGATAGTTMAGCTTGTTTTGAGGCAATCGAGGGAAAGTCATCCCCAAAAAGCCATCCTTTGGCATTAGGGAGCGGCTGATCCGCTAAGTTAATTTTTGACCTGTTTATGGCAGATAAAATTCTCTGTCTACGCAAGCATGAGAGCTGATAATTTGCTGAACCCAAAAGGCACAAGGTCTGTTCTAGGATAGTCTTCATATCATCCGATGAAGGGATATCCCCTGACTCTAAGCAATCATGTAGACTGCAGAGAGGTGCTGTGGAGTTGAGCATGGCTCTTTGCACTGTGAATAGCTCCTTGTCTCTTTCTTGAACGAATTTTTTCATTTTTTGAGGAACCTGGCCAAGGACCTGCTGGTCTGGTTTAGGAGCTGATAAAGCTTCGACCTCCGGAGATGACCAGTTATCAAGTATGTTTAATAMTTGGTCATAGGATAGTTTCCTTCGAAAGTTAGTTTCAAGGAATTTTGCAGATGACGGAGTAGCTTTCCATGTTTGTGATGTCGCGTCTGGGTCGTACATTTGACCTGTTGTTTGTGGATAACACCTTGTTATCCCTCGAGGTTTTTTGAGAGACCAGAACTGTGGAAGATGAAGAAAATGGACAAAAAAGTGGCATATAAACAAACTTACCTTCGATGGTTTGAAGCACAAGGAAAAAAGCCGGCTATGCATTATGGTCCCACGTGGATATAGGCACATGGGGGCTTATGGGTAGGGATCGTTTTTTCTACCTTAGGGTACCCACCTGGGGACCCTATATGTGTTAAAAAGTGGTTTRAAGCACTMAATGGGAAATTCCTACCATTTGTTTTCTCATATATTTCGAACGGAGTCTGTGAAATATAATCGGTGTGATTCGTATTTCTCCGCTCCTCGGTCCATTCTATCCAAGCCGGCACGTACACACGGCCATTTGGTACTTTAGTTTGTTCCTTCTTGAATCCTTCCCGCGTATTTTTTCGAGCTAGTTCAACATCAAAAACTATTGTAATTTTTCTCATTTTTCCCATCTGCAGACTTTGTCATCGTTATTTGCGGGCAGAGGCATGCGGAGTTCCAAGTCTGATAGCAAATCGTCAATCCGTCAAAATCAAAGTTCGGCGGCAAAGGAATGATGTCAAACGTATTTTGAGCTATAAACAAATCGTYACTGTTCGACATCGTTTCCAGAATGACTGTTCAGAATATTTGATAACAATATTCAAATTCCGATTGCTAGCTTTCGCATGAACAGGTTTTCTTAAAGGAAACTAATTTCAATAGTCCATGAAAAAGTCTCAAGAGAAGAGGATTCTATTGTTCGAATCCCAACTAAGAAAACATTCATTTAGACTATTCAGTTTTTGCGAAAACCACGTGAATTGAAAACTAAGTTTGTTAGTTACCTCGCACGTCGGCATTATGCTATATAGCGTAATGCCTCCGTTCTCGGTAACTAACTCTTACTTACATCTATTAGATAGCCGAGGCCTGGGCACGGTAAATAGAGCGTGAATGTTGAGTGAATCAAAGCCACCGCGAAATAGATACAGTCAATCCCAACGTTGTTCAAGTGTAAATGATAAAGTCAATATACAATATACAACAAAGTCGTATACTAAATATTATAGAAATCCAAATAATCGATTAAGAGTAAGGAGCTAGCATGATGAGTGGTGTGGTCAAGGCTCCTGCAGTCCACTCAAAATGGCAGCCCGTCACTACCCAGTACTCTGTCAAGTCAAACTATCTTGGCTTTCTTCGCGCCAAAAAGAATCCTTGTTTGTTCCCGTGCTCTACTTAATTTCAAACTTTACTGAGGATAATACGAATGCGATCTGTGAACATGGACGTAGAGTGGTCGCACTAAATGCGTGAAATATAAATACTACAAAATAGGTGATGAATTATACAAATTCCTTTTTTTCCCATTGTATAATCAACACTATTTAGTAGTAATTAGTACTGTTTGTTTCACACTTTAATTGCGAGCACTATTAACACATGATTAACATTTTACCTCAGCCTGCGTAGCCAGGCGTTCCTAGCTGGTCCGAGCCCAAGCTCTCTCGAAGCTGCTAGTAACGCCTGGCTACCCAGGCTAGGGTCGGTGGCTTTATCAAAATTATCTTGTCGATCTAGCAGATCTAGTCCCGTTTCGCATCATTGTGGCGTAGTAGTCACATTATCATTAAGCTATCGTCCCATACGTTATTACTGTGTGGTTATAGCTACTAATTACTTTGCTCACTGTTGCTGTGGCGTCTTTCTTGTCATGAATCAAGACAGCAGTGTTCAAGTACGTGTGGCGACAAACGATGATGTGGATATAATACTTACAATATCCGAAGGAATCTACGGGGACTACCTTCCTGTTGTTCTTCGCCAATGGCTGGCTGAGGATACAAGGTTCATATTTCTCGCCGAATACGAAGGTGAAGTCATTGGATTGCAAGTAGCGACGGTTWCAACTGATCAGAAGTCATTTGTAACTCAGTCCTTGAGAATTCATCCCAAATACCGAGGGAAGAAACTTAGCTATCAACTGACTGATGCTGTTACGACGGAAATGTGTACACGGTTTCCACAAATATCGAAAAATATCTTGACATGTATAAAACCATCGGCTGCGTTAACAATGTATRCAAACAAAGGCTATAAAACAATAGAACAACGAACCTACTATCAAGTACACAATATCAAGCCATCTGATATCGTGTGCATTCGCCGTGAAAGCCAAAATTGGRATGACACGAGCCTGGTTCCGATGTGYGAGAAARATATATTGGRRWTWTTAAAAGATARGAAAATCCTAGATCTWGTTGGMTCACATGGCGTTGTGATGGGTAATCATTATTTCCCTCGAAATCTTCCTGAAGAGGCTCAACTTGAAGCTGAAGAAATAACAAAGACTGGGGTAATGTTTGTGGAAGCAGGTCAACCAGAAGACAACGGCTTTCCAAGCTCGTTTAGCTATGGCTTTTTTTCGAGAAGTGTCAGCATTGACTACTGGCTTTCATATATCTATGCTAACGATGCAGACACATTTAAGAAACATTTTCTTAATCACTTAAAGACTGCAGTTAACGTTGCAAGTAATTCCGAAGATCATTATTTGGAGATTTACTGCTATCAATTTCATAGCAGGGATATCAGCTTTAATGGTTGCAATGTCATCATACATGAGCTTTCTCGACTTCAGGGTGATTTGAAAGTCACAATTAAATGCGATGTACTTCTGGAAAACAATGTTAGTCGATGTAGACAGGGAAAATAAGAGTATGTATGATTTATCGTTTGGTTTGTAGAAAATAATCAAACAGTTGTCTAGTGTTTGTAAATTAGTTGTATATTGTATGAAAAGTAAGTTCAGTGGATTAACTGGAGACATTTATTAAGGAAGTTGGAAATAGTTACCAATAAATACTAGACCATGACAGCAGGGTGTACTCGTGCCCTAAAGGTGTTGAAAAAGTGCTGACTTATTCAGTACTTTTTCAAATTGAGCTCATTATATGACCAACCATTTTTAATATACTGTCTTTCTCAATTTTCAAAAATAGCTCGCCCGAGTTGAAGAGAGTCTGGTTTATAAGATTTTATGTAAAGAATCCACCAAAGGCATGCAGTATGATCTATAGGAACTGATAAATCACGAAGTGATTTGAAATCAAGTATATTAAGATTAAAATTTGTGAAAGTGACTCCTTGTAGATTACTTTTCTTGCAATAATCGGGCGGGATAAAAATTGTGAATCCACAGGTAGCCCAATATCTCGAAATGCTTCACACTTAAGAATCGTAAAATTATGCCCTTGGGGAAGAAATTGTTTTTTCGGGAGCCTCCTCGGGTTTGCTCTGGGGGGAGGGGGGGGCAATAAATATTACCAAAACTGCAAAAAAAGTTGTTTATTTACACCATATTGATTATTCACAGATATCTATGTACATCCGCACAAAATATTTATAAAAATATGCCTAACACCACATATACACATAGATTTTGACGTCATTGTGTCGTCATGTTTAAATAATGACGTCACACTTCCATCCCTTTGAGCGACAAGAAGCTGTCAAGCTTGTGATCAAAGTCTATTGGTCGTTCTTCTGGTTGTCTGTATCGTGACGTCATTTCCTGTCCCAGGTATTGAATCAGCTCGCATTGTTCTTCAAAATTCATCAGTTTTTGTTTATACTTCTTCCTTACAAAGTCGGTACTGTTTGGGTTGTAAGCTTTAAAATAAACAAAAAGATTGATCAGATATTGAAAACCTTTGGCAGACTTACATGCATCAACCCCCTTTATTTACTTAGACCGAAAACGACAATAAAACAAAATAAATAAGAAAATGTGAAAGGGAAAAAGTTACTTCTAGGTGTAACATTGTCGTGGAAGCTAAAAGCAGCGCTTTCCAGTTTCCAACAACTACAGAGCTTAGTAACATGGCTTCAATCAATTGAATTAAACTCATAATAAGAACGAAAACAAAAAATTTGCCTGTGAATCTTTCCGAAGAAAAATGAGAAGCTTTTGACAATTTGAAGTATAGGAATGAGTAGAATACAACTAGTTACAAGTTACCTTTAAGATAGTAAGCTACATAGAGCAACGCCGATCTCTTGGCGTCTAGAAATGGATACTTTGGTTTAAAACACCCCACTGCAGTCAATGCTTTAGTGATGGCTGTTGATACTGTCTGTTCCATAAAACCAAGCATAGGTAGAGACATGGCTGATAGCGAAGGATCTTTGGCTGGAGGGAGCTTGTGAGGGAGTGTGAGTCCATGGTACAGCTCGGGCAGTCGCATGAATTTATCGAGTTTTTCTTCTGACGCAAAATAGTAGAGTTTTTGACGGTATTCAACAACCATCTCCGGGTCACCTGGGACTATATTCTCGTACCTGAGCAAGAAGAAAATTAAAAATTATTACGGTAAATCGTTCATAAAAGTATTAGTCCATTCATTTTCCTCAATTCATTCATGTATTCGAACAAAGAGAAGAATATATCTATAAAAAAGGTTGCTGTCAGTACGGCAAAGCATGCATGGTAATTGCTGAAAAATATGRGTTTGAATATATATTAAAGTGCTAGTCTTACCAAAATAACACGCCTCAAAAACAGGTTTTATGTATTCCATATCTTCGTTGAAATAACCGTAAATACTAAAAATTAACAAAGTTTGATCCACAAAAGCTCTGTTTCCATTTGAGTTTTGGTGCTAAAGACATCAACAATCCCGTCCGCCATTAAATATGAATAAGCGATTTTTTGAATCAGCGGTTGCACGCTATGACGTCAGAGCCGCGCGTCGAGCAGACGCAACAAGAGAAAGAATATAGCGCAAAGTGATCTTTCTATTAAGTCGACTAAAAGTTTAAAACAGCAATTAAAAGACCACTTAACTACTAGTTGAAAATTACCGCAAAATCGTGTTGAATTTGGCGCGAGTACGCCTCTGACGTCACTTCCTATGAATATGTAATTAGTTAGACGGCACGCTCTCAAATAATGGCGGATCAGAAAACGCGAAATTCATCGGTTCAAAAAGATATCTTTTCGTTCACGTATAGACACAAAAAACGGCCAGAATACTATTTGGTGTTTATATTTTATTCTGTATAAATTTCAAGAATTTAAGTTTTTTGATAAGACTAGCACTTTTACGTTCAATGTCAAATAATATTATCTATAT